TAGCTGCCATCACCAGTGTGTGAATGGGTGGATGACTGGATGTGTGAAGCGCTTTGGGGTCCTTAGGGACGAGTAATATATATAAATATATAGATATAGACCATTTTTTCTTAGTCAAGCACTCACCTGTTTGTGTTTCAGGTAAACTGGACGATAAGAGAGCTCCAGAGGCTGATCTCAGGTCAGTTCACCCCACATCGCCTCATCACGAGTGTGTGTGTTTATAGTGTGTGTGTGTTTATAATGTGTGTGTGTTTCAGTATCTTTGAGGACATCGGGGACTATATCCCATCCACCAAACCCACCAAAGAGAAAGAGCGTCACCGGGACAGAGACCGGGAGCGTGACCGTGACGACGACACCAAGAGCCGCAGACACACCTACTTTGAGAAACCGCGAGGCGACGAGCACCAGGTGATGTTGGGGGGCGGGGTTTGTTTGTGCCTGGTTTACCCGTGTGGTTCTAACTGTGTGTGTGTCTCTGCAGGTGATGGAGGTGGACACAGGTAAGCTCCTCACTGTGACTCACACGATCGTTCTGACCAATGACAGCTGATCGATAACTGATGGATGCTGCGTCTGTGGCAGGTCCAGGATCAGTCAGAGACCAGATCAAGATGATCAATGAGAAGTTTGCAGGAGCAGCAGGCAGCCAATGGCAGAGCCAGGAGCCATATCCTTGTTTATGATTGGACTGTTGTATGAGTGGGTGGGGCTTACTGTACCACACCAGCTTCTGTCTGAGCTGGTTTACCTGTGCGCAGGTAAAGTCTGTGCTCATGTTGTGTTACAGGTGATGTTCTCGCTCACCTGTATGGGGCTCAGGTGTTCCGGTGATGTCACAGCTGCTGGGATGGAGCGGTAGTAATAGCGCCTGAGCGGGAGTAGTAGCGCCTGAGCGGGAGTAGTAGCGCCTGAGCGGGAGTAGTAGCGCCTGAGCGGGAGTAGTACCGCCTGAGCTGGAGTAGTAACGCCTCAGCATACTGAACAACTGCAGTACTACACACAAGAAAATACACAATATAGATACATGTATGTATGTGGTACAGTGATACAGGGTACCGACACCAGTACTGAGTGTGTGTGCGTGTGTGTGTGTGGTGTTACTGCAGTACTTGTCCTTAGCTGGTGTGTACTGGCTCTCAGAGGAGAGACTCCAGTAAGGAGCAGCTGGGAGATTTTTTTGGAGGATCAAACTCATACGCAGAGTGTTACCCTGCTACGTAAGACACACACACACAGACACGCGCACAGACACACTCACAGACGCACGCACAGACACACACAGACACACGGTGCGTTAACCTTCAGGTGTGTGTGACTACATCTGTGTGTGTAGGATGGACGACCTGGCCGTGGACAGTGACGAAGAGGTGGACTACAGTAAGATGGACCAGGTAACTCTGACTCCCAGCATGCACTGCAGCTCATCCTCACACAGCAACATGATGCTTTTCTGTGTGTTCCAGGGCAATAAGAAGGGTCCTCTGGGCCGCTGGGACTTCGACACTCAGGAGGAGTACTCGGATTACATGAACAACAAGGAGGCGCTGCCCAAGTGCGTGCTACTGTGTCCCTCCGCTCTGACTGACAGGCAGCCTGTGTGTGTCTGTGTGTGTGTGTATTCACTCTGTGTGTGTGTGTGTGTGTCTACAGGGCTGCCTTCCAGTACGGCATCAAGATGTCTGAAGGCAGGAAGACACGACGTTTCAAAGAGACCAATGAGAAGGCAGAGCTCGACCGCCAGTGGAAGAAGATCAGCGCGGTGAGAGAGACGGATGATCTGACATCGTCGTGTTGGTGTTGTTCCAGGTTCAACATTGCAAGTGACCAATCACATTGTTGTGACGTTATTCTTTGGCGCGCCGAGACATTCGTGCATTTATGAAATTCCAATGTTGCACGGACAATATCAGTTCTGCTCAGCGTTTATTAAAGGGTCAGGGTCCGTTGATCGGCGGACAGAGGCGGTTTCTCGCAGCTTAAGTACAGTTTTTTGTTTCGCGGCGGTTTTTCCCAAAGTCCCAAAAGTATGACGTCACAACATTCTGATTGGTCACTTGCAATGTTGATCTTGGAACAACATTTACTATGTTGATCTGGGAACAACACCAACACGACGATATCAGATCGTGTGAGACAGACACGCACACACAGGCAGAGTGAACACAGACACACACACAGACACACACACGCTGTAAACCAATCAAACACGACGCTGAAGCAGCTGTTTTTGTTTCAGATCATCGAGAAGAGGAAGAAGATGGAGGCTGACGGGTAAATACTTCCTGTTTGTTCTCAGCTCCTCGTTTATCACTTTGTCAGCCAATCAGGCAGCAGTGACCTTATGTATGACATCATAAATGATGGAAGACTTTTATTTTTTCAGGGTCGACGTGAAGAGACCAAAATACTGAAGACGCCCCGCAGACCCAGCAGCTAAATCGATCGTGTATCGATCGGCTTCATGTTAGTTTAGAAACATGTAAATGTACAGAGATGCTGTGAGGTCAGAGATCACTGACCCTGATAAGTGTGTATTGTTATTGATTAGCTGTTCTTATTGATCAGTTTGTTTTGTGAGAATAAAAACATCCAAACATCTGCTGTGATTGCGGTTTCTCTATAAAGACGGCCAATCAGGAGGATGTGTGCTGATCAGCTGTATCCATGGAACTGCAGTGGGCGGGGCCAGGAACAGACTGATTAGTATCATTTTTAACACGTGTGACGTCATGACCTCGCAACCTGAGTTTGTATCACTGATGTCTGTGAACGGGAAGATTACGATATTCGAGATCTGGCCTAAAGTAAAATAGACGCCCACATGAGTGACAAAGATGGCCGCTCAGAGTAAACTTCACACTGCTCTCGCATTGGCTACCAACTCATCAGTCACAGCCTGTTAACCAGTCAGCTCTTATGGATGAACAATATTTACAGTGACGAAGCTCAGTGGCGTCGCCCCCTGCTGGCCGTCACACAGAAAGCTTACAGTCCTTAAAGCTGTGTCGTCGGGTTATTGTTACTCATCACTGTAGTTTTAGCTTCACCTGTTTTTAGCCAATCAAGAGGATAGAAATCACATCTGTCCTCTGAGCTCACAGCTGGCAGACTCACAAAATGTGCTAACGCTAGACGTGCTAATCTAAGAAGCTAATCTAATTTTCATTTAAAGTAAGTAAACTGGAATGATGACATCACAAACACTGATTGGCTGTGGTAGATGTTAGACAGCAAGTGCTCGCTCGAGTCTGGACGAGCAGCAGACGTTTACGCCCACATCTGCTGAGTGTCAGAGGTCACATCACAGATCCACAGGAACTGGTTAGCGAGTTCGTCAGTAGTGGTGTGCCATACTCGGTGTTGGGAAGGTTACTTTTAAAATGTATTCCATTACAGAATACATGCCCGAAATGTATTCTGTAACGTGTTCCGTTACTCCCCAACACTGGCCATACTGCATATTTCGGTATCGATCCGATACCAAGTAAATACGGGCCAGTATCGCCGATACCGATACTTTTCAATAAATAGGGTGGATGCCTCATTGAATTGCTAGATCGCAATTAATTTTCATGACCTTAAGTGTTTTTTGTGATTTTTCCTTTTGTATTATTAATTACTTGAAACCCAGGACGTAATTAGGAGAAATAATTTATTTATAATTAAATAAAAAAATGCTTTATTATTGTGGCGGCCGTGTACTGCGATGCTGCTGCAGATGAGATGGACTCACCTTCACTGCAACTACAATCATGCCTCGCCGGCTTAAAACCTGTGCGTTGCTTGTGCTGTTGTTGTTTTTGGTGGTGATGTGCACAGCTGGCAGCAGGAGGGCTGCAGCCGTTGAATGTAGGCTACTGTTACAGCAACCGGGTGATCACTGTAAGGGTGGACAGCGCGCGGCTCGGGGTGAGCCGGAGGCTGGCGCGCCAATGGGCCCTGCCAAGCTGGAGACGGAGGTCGAGGTGCGTGGGGGTCCTGCCACGCCTGAAGGCGGCACGCGTGCCGGCCGTCTGCCCAGCTGCCTCTGAGCCCCGGCTCACTTCCACTCCTGCTGCACCGCCGCTGCTTGCCCTATGGGTGGCCATCAGGCCAGCTCCCGGGCTTCCGCTGGAGGTGCGGGCGACCGCCAGAGTGGACACTTCCCTGTCGCATGGGCGGGGCATGGGGCGCCGATGGTCCGGGCCGATTCC